AAAGCGCAGGGCCTGAGGTAGCCACCCCGAACCATTCTATGGACAGGGCGGCTCTATACAGGTTTAACTATCAGTTTAAATTCACATCTTAAGCCATACCAGTGTGGCTCACCTATGTAAACAAGCCCTTGAGAAAACATCCCCTCTCTAAAGATTTCCATCATTTTCCTGTCCTGCCTTGATGAGCCATGACTGAGGAAAGGATTCCAGATCAGAGCCAGGTAACTCTCCCCAGGGCTCGTAAGTGCCAACAGATGACATGCTTCTGTCAAAAGCAGCCTGCCCGTGTTTAAGCAAGGAGGTTGTTAAGGGGAAGAAGCTGTCACTCTGCCTGTCACCTCTCGGAATCATGCAGCAAATGTTGCCAAGTGCATAGAAATAAATCTCCACCAAAAGCATGTGCTTATTTGAGGGGTTCGAAGACGTCATTACGCTCAGAAGAACAGAGTGGGGCCATCAATTCCCTCAGTACAGCTCCCATTAGCTGTTTCTCCAACGTTGGGAAGGAATGGGTGAGCCACTCTTACCCTGAAATGAGTGTCCACGTGGCCTTTGGTCCAGGTTCAGGGCTGTCCCTGGGGGCAAAGGGCCCTGTGCTCCCCTGCCCCAGCCCTGACCCCACCCTGCCTCTTCCCACCCTGCTCTGCCCTCTCCCACTCCCATTGCATTCTTTCCTCGAAATCCCTTCTTCCCGAGCTACACAAACTGGGGATTTTGGAGGGGAGGGGACTGTCATGGGGTCACAGCAGGGTTTGGGACCCCACACTCACCACAGCAGGAGCTGGAGTGACCCAGCAACCTGCTCTGCCCTGCTGCCCATCTCCCAGCCCACTGCATCCCACTTCACGGCAGTGGCAGGGAGTAGGGAATCTCGGCCCCAGATTGTTCCCGTCTGCTCCCCGAGTCCTGCACCGCTGGGGCAGGAGTCAGGTCACTTTGCTTGCTGCCACCATGGTGAGTGCAAGGGTGGGGGGCCCAATCCCTGCTGTTGCCCCACCCCAGGTACCCCAGGCCACTCTGAGCCCTGTAGGTCCCATCCACAGAACTGTTCAGGTGGCTGCCACAGGGCCCCCCAAAGCGCAGGGCCTGAGGTAGCCACCCCGAACCATTCTATGGACAGGGCGGCTCTATACAGGTTTAACTATCAGTTTAAATTCACATCTTAAGCCATACCAGTGTGGCTCACCTATGTAAACAAGCCCTTGAGAAAACATCCCCTCTCTAAAGATTTCCATCATTTTCCTGTCCTGCCTTGATGAGCCATGACTGAGGAAAGGATTCCAGATCAGAGCCAGGTAACTCTCCCCAGGGCTCGTAAGTGCCAACAGATGACATGCTTCTGTCAAAAGCAGCCTGCCCGTGTTTAAGCAAGGAGGTTGTTAAGGGGAAGAAGCTGTCACTCTGCCTGTCACCTCTCGGAATCATGCAGCAAATGTTGCCAAGTGCATAGAAATAAATCTCCACCAAAAGCATGTGCTTATTTGAGGGGTTCGAAGACGTCATTACGCTCAGAAGAACAGAGTGGGGCCATCAATTCCCTCAGTACAGCTCCCATTAGCTGTTTCTCCAACGTTGGGAAGGAATGGGTGTTTCTGAAGCAAACAGCCCTTCCATTGCTAAGAGCAGTCCCCCTCTCTCCAATTCCTTCCCAAGAATACAAGGCTTCCTCTCTTGCCATTACCACAAGAAAATAGTTTCAGTGGGGGAGAAACTTCCCATTAGAATCCCAGGCTGTATCTACACTGCACCGTTATTTCGAGATAACTAGCGTTATTTTGAAATAACAAAACAAGTGTCTACACAGCAATTCTGTTATTCCGAAATAACACGGCTTATTCTGAAATCTGTAAACCTCATTCTATGAGGAATAATGCCTATTCCAAAATAGCTATTTCGAAATAAGGCATGTGTAGATGCTCCACTGCTGCTATTTCAAAATAGCCCCCACTAGGGCCATTCTAAGTTATTCCTCCCCAGTGCCTCCTAGGGCTCTAAATCAAGATAGCATGTCTACATTAGGGAAGCCTGCCTTGGACTAATTTTGAGGCTTCCTTGCAGTGTAGACGTGCTATTTCGAAATAAGCTATTTCAGAATTACTATTCCGGAATAGCTTATTCCGAAATAAGCATGCAATGTAGACATACCCCCAGAGTCCTGCCAAGGTAGGAGAATGTGTCTTAGTGTAATTAGAATAATAGAATCCTAGGGCTGGAAGAGAGCTCAGGAGGGCATCGAGTCCTACCCCGTGCCCAAAGCAGGACCAGCCCCAACTAAATCATCCCAGCCAGGGCTTTGTTAAGCCGGGACTTAAAACCTCTAGGGATGAAGATTCCATCACCTCCCTAGGGAACCCATTCCAGTGCTTCACCATCCTCCTAGTGAAATAATTTTTTTCTAATATCCAACCTAGACCTTTCCCACTACAACTTGAGACCATTGCTCCTTGGTCTGCCATCTGTCACCACTGAGAACAGCCTCTCTCCATCCTCTTTAGAACCTCTCTTCAGGAAGTTGAAGGCTGCTATCAAATCCCCCCTCACTCTTCTCTTCTGCAGACTAAACACACCCAAATCCCTCAGTCTCTCCTCATAGGTCATGTGCTCCAGCCCCCCAATCACGCTGGACTCTCTCCAGTGTGTCCACATCCTTTCTGTAGTGGGGGGCCCAGAACAGGACGAGACCACATTAGCAGTGGGGGAGGGCTGGGAAAGCCCTCTATTTAGAAGCTCTGCTGTAAGGAATATTTTTCTTCTCCTCCACACACTGGAAACGTTGGGTTTTTTTGGCTCCCCAAAGGCCAAGGAGAAGAAGCTGAAAGTAAAGTAATGATTGGTTTAAAAAGGTTAGCATAGAGTATTGATTCAGATGGCTGCCTCCCATTAGTTCAGGTGTAAATTACAGCCGACCTCTTGTAGCAGCCTCCCCTCACTGCCCTCTATCTCCATGTTGCAAAGGATGAGATCTGTATCTCTGAGCTGTCTGCACCACTCTGTTCTGATTTCCATACACTGCCACAGTCCTTCCCTCGCTGTGGCTTAGTCCCTGCCTATAAAGAGCGGGCTGCCGGATCCTTCCATTCAGCCCGTGTGACCATGCACTCCTCCCCTCTGATGAGACCTGCTATTCTTGCCCTGCCGTGTGACAGTGCAACATGTAGTGATGACATTGATGGACAGACATACTACACACATGGCCTGTTGGCATGATAGCAGCTCAAGGCAGTTGGTGCCTGTGCAAGGCAGCAGGTCTTGAGACTTGCACCTGGCAGGTGCCAAGCAGAAGAGTCATCCTGCTGGGCTCCTCTTTGCCCCAGTGTGGCAGCCGGGAGCAAACCCTCCACCAGCCTTGCACCTTGACCATCTCTTGGGATTCCCACAGCAGAGACAGAGACCCCAGTGGAACAGCTCCATGTCCAGGGGAGCAGTGGATATTCATCATCTCTAAAAATCCAGCCATGTACATTGAAGTGCCTACATCTGGATGTGGGAGCCTAACTTTAGGCCCCCGGGTTTGAAAACACTGGTCTGCATGATCTGTACTAAAGTGAAGCCTTCCGCTTTTATCCCTCCTGTGGCCTTCCTCCCAGGCCTATGCCTCACTTCTGAGCCACAGGGGCAGAGGGGTCTGGCAGCACTGGTAGCCAGGGTGCACTGGATGGCTGGACTGAGTGGGACGGGGGCAGGGCTGAGCTGCTGGTCATGGAAGCGAGTCTCTGGTGCTATTCTAATCTCTGCCTGCCTGCCTGCTGTCATCCCAGCAATTGAACCTGTGCCTCTTTGACCCTCCCAGATCTTTCCAAGCCCATCACAGCTGCCCCGTCGGTCTGCGGGTCCTGCTCAGGCTGTGAGTGGGAGTGTTTGACCCTTGGAACAGCAGCAGTGAACAGCTGTTTGTGGGGCTGCAGAGCACCAAAATCCCAAAGCCTTGTGCAATGTAGGGGGTAACATCAGACAAAATGCTCTCCCCCAATCCTCCTGGGCTGGGAGTGCTGAGAAGGCAGACTGCTCTGCTCCCAGGGGCAGGGAGCGCCTTGCATCGCCCCCCAGGAAGCTAATTTAGCAATGGTGACCCACTGTTTTCTGGCAGAAGGATGGGTCCATCCCTCATGGGGCCTGGTAGCATACAGGGGGTGCAGAGGATGGTTGGAGGCTCCCAGAGAAGCCTCCAACAAAATGGCAGTGACAGATGATGAGAGAAAAACCTCACTAACCTTGCCTAGCTCATGCCCTTTCCTTGAGCCATATATGGCTTCTCATTGTCCAGCACCTGGCTCCTGGGAGGTGCTTCCTATTATGAATGCAGGTTTACCCGCAGTGAAAGGGAAGAGAATGACAGCTATTGATTCGCCACCGGGAAATCAATTGTGTCCCTGACAAATGGTACAGACAGTTTGCATCTCAGCTGCATACAAACCAGAGTCTAGCCTAACACATCACTGGGTGCTTGGACCATTTGGACTCCAGCGGTAGCTCAGTGTAGAAATTCCATGAGTGCTAAGCTCTTGAGCAGAGGGCAAGTGAACACTCAGCTCAGCAGCTGGCTCAAGACTCCATTTGCAAACAGAATAGCCACAAAGCAACCTCCACCCAACAAGTGCAGGACTCCCTTTTCAGCTCAGCATCCCCTTTTCCTAAAGAAATACCCTTGTCCTGCATGGGGGGAGCCCAAAATCCACTGGAACAATTTAGGTGCCCACACATGGGGGGAGCCCAAAATCCACTGGAACAATTAAGGTACCCATGGGCCACGCAGTAGGGAGGGAGGCGGCTAGTTCTAGTTCAGTGGAATGGATTCCTGCCTTCCCGTGTGACACCAAGGCAAAGAGGCAAAGCTCCAGGGAATGAACACGAGGCAGGAGAGCCAGGCGAAATATTAGGAAGCAAGAGGGAAGGATGCCAGAAGCAAACCTGGTTTGTATTAACACCCATTAGGTATTGTTTTCTGACCCTACAGACAGCATCTGGGCCTCTGCTGATTCTCCCTTTGCTTTGCCTTTCAGCATAGTTACAGAGAGGTGGGCATCCTATTGCTCTACCTGGCGGTGGGAGTCTCCGTGTTCTCCGGAGTGGCCTACACAGCAGAAAAGGAAGAGGACGTGGGTTTCGACACAATCCCTGCTTGCTGGTGGTGGGGGACAGTCAGCATGACAACTGTGGGCTACGGCGATGTGGTGCCGGTGACCGTGGCCGGCAAGCTGGCAGCTTCGGGATGCATTCTGGGCGGGATCCTGGTGGTGGCTCTGCCCATCACCATCATCTTCAACAAGTTCTCCCACTTCTACCGCAGGCAGAAGGCCCTGGAGGCTGCCGTGCGGAACAGCGACAGGAAGGAACCCAAGGACTATGAGAATGATCCCAGCCAGAACCATGACTTGGAGGCTCTGGGGGAAGCCTTCTGGGAAGGAGGCAGAGAGGAGTTCCATGATCTAACCAGAGACACCCTTCCTGCACACTGAGTGCACTGAGACAGGAGAGTACAGCTCCTCCCTGGCACCCTCTGTCCTGGCAACGTGTGGCAGCAAGGACCTGGCTTGTACGCTACTTATCCCTTCTCCCCTCACCGCCTCTCGCAGCGAAGTGAACAGAAGCAGAGAGTGCAGATGCTGCTCACACAGCGCATTGTCCTACCAGGACAATGAAGCTACCAGATCTAGAACAAGCATGACTCTGTGTTATCCAAACTCTCCAGAAATCCAGCTGGCCTCTCTTAGCACACATCACAATGTTGGATTTCATCCCCTGTGGAGCAAGGGCCATTCAGAGCCAAGGGCTCAAAGCAGTATGCCCATCAGGTGCCAGCTGTTTGCTGTCTTGAATGGGGCAGCACTCAGCAGCTATATCCATTTGGGCACTTCTTGAATCACCGTATTTACTGTGTTCATGGCAATGCTGTAAGTGCCCCCAAAATGACCTATAAGTGGGTGCCAGGAAATCTGGGATTAAACATAATGGACGAAGGCCTTGCCTACATTAAAAGGAAGATTGCAGCTGCCACAATCAATCTTCCAGAATTCAGAGGGTCCCCCTGCCAGTGTCCAATACTTCTTCTTTTGCAAGGAGAAAGAAAGGTGATGGGAGCGTTTGCTCCTGTCGGCCTCCTGCTGTGGGGAAACCCCCAAGCTCGGCTTAAGGAAAACCGACTAAAGCTACATATTCGACGTAGCTGGAGTTGCGTACCTCAAGCTGAGCTGCCAGGTCTAGTGTAGATTTGGCCTTAGAAAAGGAAACCAAAGGAAGAAACAGGGAGCCCTCAATGTATCCAACTGGCCTACAGGAATGGTTGCCAAGATCTTCAGTTAGCTAAGGGCAATCATCCTGCAACCTAATGTTCTGTCACTGTCCATCATAATGTTAACACATAGGGTACGTCTAGACCATAAGCCTCTTTCGAAAAAGACTGTCTAGACAGCCCCAAGTCTTTCGAAAAAGTGAGCCACTTTTTTGAAAGGAAGCACCCAGACAATCTGGACACTCTCTTTCAAAAAAGCCCTGTTTGCGGTCAAGAATGCCTTTTTTCAAAAGAGCTCTTTTGAAAAAAGACATTCTTCCTGGTAAAAGTAGGTTTACCGCTGTCGAAAAAAAGGCTGCATTCTTTCAATTTAATTTCGAAAGAACGTGACGGCAGTCTAGACACAGATGAAGTTTTTTTGCAAAAAGGCCACTTTTTTTCAAAAAATCTCTGTAATTTAGACATACCCATAATGTTTAGCCCCCAGTCCCTCTTCCCCTCCTGTGAAATTGAAATTGCAACAGGTTTCACAACTGGAAAGCAGCCAAAGGAATTCAAAACCCCATGATGTCTTCTCGGCTAGGGATGTAAAAAGTCATTTAAAAATGTAACTGTGTAACCGCTAAAGATCCTATATTTAACCGTTGAAGATCCTATATAAGCTTTATACTTCAGAGCCCACAATGAAGCCAGCTCCCTGAGAGCAGAGCCAGCAAGGGTTAACCATTTACATCCCTATTCTCTGCAGCAATGGAGTGTGATGAGTGAGCCCATCTCAGACTTGGTTGGTTGCCTTGTGGGTATCCTACCAGGGCTAAGACAATACTGAGTCCCATCCTCCTTATAGCTTCAGTCCTGGGAAGAGCCTAAGCTGCTCCTGGCCTTTCAGAGCCTCACTGGATAATTAGGAGGGAAAAAGTGCAATAAAGGTAACGGGGCCAGATACTATGGTGAGGGGTGACTGAGGAAGAGAGAGAGTTACACAGGATATCCTGTTTTTCTTCTGGTGAATCTGGCGTCACCCTCAGGTATCCTTGGAAGCACCCTCATCTCAGCATATGCATTTGCTTTCATTAGTGACAGGCCGTCACGACACTTGCTGTGTTAAGAGCGTCATCCCCCGAGGAGCAATGTTCTGGAGAGATGCAGAAGGCTGGGTTTGCCCTGGGCTCTCTGACACAGCGTGGGAAGTCCTAAGAGAGCGCTCAGTTAGGCTGGAGAGAACTCCTTGTTTGCCAGCATTCCCTACAAGTTTCCCGGCCTAGCACTGAGGCACATGGCATACCCTGTGCGAAACTGGCCTGGTGTGTGTTGGCCAGACAGCCAGCAAACCCACCACTCACACCACATCTGCCCCAAGAGATGTGTAGAGTGTGTGTTTGTTGGCGGAGGTTGCTAGTGCTCTGATAAGACAGCCCAGGAGACAGCAGCTTTGCAAGAGATTTGACAGATGTAGCAGGAAGAGTCTGTGTCATTGCTGGATGCGTGATGCCCTGAAGCAGAGTGATAAACCGTGGCCTATACCTAGACACATGCTCCAGTTCTGTGTGTTACAGTGATCCCAGCAGTGTTTTCTGTCTTCATCCTCGCAGTCCCCTTCCTCTGGTGAAATGCCACGTATTGGGCATTCATCTGTGCGCAGTGACTGTCTGCTGCAGGCTGGTGACACAGTGAAGCAAACCTCAGGTGCATTGATCTGCTGTTACCCTCCAAGGCTTTTCAAATGCCTCCCATGTCCTTTCAACACCCACCCCACTGAAACTCCCCTCTAGCATTGTCTTGCCCCACTCTCCAACCCACACCCACACATGGAGTGGCTAGTGTCCATCCCCAAATCTTTGCTAGGATACACTTTTTATTTCAGAGTCAGAATTTTAGCAGCAGCCAAGGCCTGGTTTTGCTCTTCTTATCCCTAACTTTTAGGAACTAATTTGACCAGCATGTGCTTGAATGGTCACTGTGCTCCTCAGATCCCTGTGTGCAAGCCCAGACCCTTGTCCTTTAGTGCTCCTGCATCCCCAGTTCCTTACAGCAGAGTTTCCCTTTGGCAGAGCAGAGCTGAGCTAGGACAGTGCACAGATTGAAACAAGGAATCATCAGCTACTGTGTCTACTCTTTGATTTACCAACTCACTCGTGGAGCTGCTGCCCAAATAACTTGGGAGGTGAGGGTGGTAGTGGGGAATCCCTGGCAGGGTCAGCACTCCGTGAGGCTAAGCAGTGAATGTGGATGAGGTTTAACAGTCCCTGACGCAGTCCTGGGGTTAAGGCTGAGACACGTTGGCAGAAGGAAGAGGGTACTTCATTGGGGTGGGGGAAGCTCAGATACTGCTGGTCTGTGTGTTTAGCAAAATGTCATGCTCTGTCTGCCTGCAACTTTCACCAGCACAACATTACTTGAGAAAACACTGACTTGATCATGCTATTCCAGCCCTGGACTCCTACACAGCTCTGCTGATGTCCCTCACTTCTTCTCTGTATCCCACTGCAATTTCATTCTCGGGCTCCAACATGCAGCTGAGCCCATCCTCTGAAATCCTGACTAGCCACACACATCCCATTTCAGCTCTGCAGTGTTCCTTTCCCAGTGGCCTCTGCTTCCCAGAGCTGGGATACCAGCAGCCAGGGCAATGAAGACATCAGTTCTCTAGACTTCCCTGAAAACTCATCACTGGTCTCTGCCCTAACAGCCAGTAGCAAAGAGGAATAAACACAGAAGGAAGCAATTAAAAACCACATACATTGACTTCAGGAGAATCACACAGGGAGGGATTTGGCCTGTTGACCCGTGTAAGAGACTTTTCATTTACTCCAACCAACTAAACGACAGAAGAAATTGTTGGTAAAACATCTTACACGGAATTTCAAAAAAGGATCAATAACTCGCCACCAGGAGATACAGTTTTGATGACATAGGTCAAGACACAGAAAATGAAATTTGCCATTAGAATAAATGGGGAACCAGCCAGTTGCAAACTGGCAAGGGAAGTTCCCTGAAAAAACCAAACAAGCCCACGATTAGCTCTCAGAAATAAATGGAAAATCAGAGTTGCATGAAGTCTGACCCCTTGTGAGTTCTCTGTGCTTTGGAAGCCTCCAGTACCAGGGTTAGTTGTTTTAAATGCAATTCCCCCAGCAGGATTTATGCACATGCTACCTTTGCAGGCAGTGAGTAGCTCCACTTCCTTGGGATAATTCACACTGCATACCAGTAAGTTGTCTAGGACAGGGGCGGACAATAATTTTTTTACTGGGGGCCACTTCAGAAATTTCAAACGGGGCAGGGCCTCAGGCAGAAGGGACGGGGCCAGGACACTCCCTGCTTCCCCACCCACAGACCATGATTGGTCTGGCGGTGGGGGAGCGAGTGAAGTCTTCCCCGCCCCCCTGATGTTCCCCCTAGGTGCCCATGCTCCTGGCGGTGGGAGGAAACTTCGCACGCTCCCCCCACTCCCAGGCCAATCAGAGTCTGGGGGCAGAGGAACACGTGAAGTCTCTTCCCGCCCTGCCGGGAGTGTGTGGCACTCCTCGCAGAGTGGAAGAAACTTCATGCATTTTCCCCCTGCCCCCAGGCCCTAATTGCCTGGGGGTGGGGGAGTGGCAGGGCCTCTGTTGTCCAGATCCACCCACTTTTGCCCACCCTGGCCTAGCAGAAAACCAGGGGCTGGGAACTTTGCAGCAGAAAGTGGCTGTAGTGTGGAAGTTAACCTGTGGGCTAAAGAGGAAAAGGAGAAAACCTGGAGGGAGAAGCCTAGAAGAGCCAAGTCCTGAGGGAAGGGTTTACCCAGAAAAAGAAAGCCTGGGGGAGGTGTCGTAGAAAGGAGCCCTAGGAAAGAGGAGCAAGGTGAAGGATTGTGCAAACATTGACTACAGGTTATAGGGCCCCTGGACTGAAATGCAGAGTAGCAGGTAGGACATTAGGAAGTGGAACATGACTGTGGGAGATGCCACCTTGACGGCTGGTCTGGAGGGACTTTGTAGCCCTAGAAGGGGAGGACTATATGACCTGCCTGGAGGGTTGAGTCACGAAGAGGGGGTAACCCTGCCCGACTCCAGTGACTGGAGCCCCTGGGGTGAGCAGCCGAGGAGGGGCATCAGACTGGACCAGAGCTAACCCCAAAAGGAGACTCAAGGAGGCATCCCTGCGGTGAGTCTACCTCCGTGTCACAGCCCTCGCTGGACTCTCGATAGATCTGCCTTGTTTCCTGTGTGGCTTTTGGGTTTCTAGGTTATGTGTCTTGGTAATGTCATCAGAGGAAAAAAATAAACCCATTTGTTTTTCTAAAAATAAAAGGACTCCCCTTCGAGCCACGTTCGAGCCCCCTGCGCTTGTCAGGGTGTCAGACGCCGAGCTGCCTTGTCTGCTCTCCAACAACTGCAGGCTGGGCTTCCTGCTGGGAGCCAGTGGGGAAACAGCCATTCAGACTGACAGGCCACCGGGAGGGATGGAGGGTCTGAAACAGCCCGACTGGCCCAGGGGGCACTGAAAATGCAGTGCTAATCTCTGTCCCTGTTTGGGGCCTGACACAGAGCCCTCTGCAGTGGAGGGCAGTGGCTTCAGCAGGCCCCCTGAGTGACTGTAATCTAGTCAGTGGTGTTCCCCCTAACAAAGAGCCTCACACCCAGGATAGTGGAACTCAGCAGAAGTCAAGGCCCAAAGAGAAGGGTTGGAGACAGATCGGGGCTTTTCTGCAATCTTCTCTCTAATCTTTTCCAGCCGTGTGCAGAATAAATGTTTCTGTGTGCACCAAGGCATGTGCACCGCCAGTCGAAACACAAACCTAGCTGTGGGCGCTCTGCTAATCAGCTGGGCGGCATTTGAATCTCTCCCGAGCGACTGCACAAGCGCCCAGCTTACAGGGAACACGGCCTCTGGCCCCAGCTGCAGCAGAAGAGGTGAGGAGATCAGTTGGGAGAGGTGGGTCGCAGCTGCTTGGAAGCTGCCCCCTTGGAGACAGTTAAGTTCAGGCGAATGAAGCTGTTTTACCTCTGTTGAGGTTCTGAGCGTAGTGAAGTGCAGAAAATAACAGGGCCTCATCAGAAAGAGGCAAAGGAACGCCGACTGACATGAAGCCACTAGGAGAGGCTGTGGCTGTTGCAGTGATAGGGATGCCATCACCTTCTGTGGGTGGCTGGAAAGCCCAGCAGTAGGCCAAACCCGCCTTGTGCTAAAGTGAGCAAGGTCTGGCTAGGCCTTCACTACGCTGGACTAGATCATGTGCCAGCTGGACAGAGCTGTGTACCATGTGCTTTGGAGGC